AAAGTGCTGACTTTATTTTTAAGTACAGACTCCAATAATAGGCTAAGTAACTGCAGATCTTCCCAAACATCTTATTATACACATACCAACATATTGAACTTTTAAAACCCTTATTTCCTTCCCATAAGTATATATTGAAAACCTTAAATTTCAGCATTATGTGTAGTGGTAATAGTGTATATTTGTTTTTTTTTTTCCTCCCATGGGAATCCTTGATAAAAAAGCATAACAACAAAAAGTTAATGCATGGGTGACAATTTCTCAACAATGTGCCTGATTACTCAGACAGGTAAAAAGAACTCTCCTGCAGCCACAACTAAGAACAACGTGTGGTACAATGTAATTCATGATCAGACTTCAGGAATATACTTTCCACCTTGATGCTGCTAACATTCCAACAAGCTGCAGTTCTCAGTCTTTTCTGATGGGGCCCCTAAATACTCATGGAAAATGGGACAAAGATACATAATGACTCTTCAGCTGCCAAGATCGGGAAAATGAATGTCAATCGCACCCAGACACAGAGGCACTTTTTGGTGGAGAGTGAAAAATATTGCCATTTGTCCTGTGCCACTGTAATCCTAGACAGGAAAGCTCAACATGGAGAAAAATTGTGGGAGAAGATGTTCTGAGACACTTGAAGAGAAAAACCTGTCATAATTATTTGGCTGACAGGAATAAAAGTACAGTGTGATTTAGTTTAGAAAAAAAGGTTTTGATTAAAGAGTATATCCATACAGATAATATTTCATTCAGTATAAAAATTTCCTGAAACATGGTTCTTTCATTGAAAAAATAATTGTTGAAAATGTCAAGGGTACCTCAGTTTCTTCTCTGATAAGGCAGTAATAATAACAGAACCTCCCTTGTGCAGGGTTACGTGGCATTATAAGATAAAGTTCTTATTACGGTGACTATAATTTAAAAGCAGACTGCACTTAGTGTTAAGAACCATACCTACTCTTGTGTTTTCTTCCTCCTTTCCTCCTCTTCCTCCATTACCATCACCCTGTTTTCCCTGCTCCTCCTCCCAGCTGTTTTGTGGCTGAATTCATTAGTAAATGTTTGGGGAGAGAGAAGAAAACTCACTCATACCAAAATATGAGAGTCTCCCCTTTGCACATCGAACTCTGAAAGTAGTATTCTTAATTATAAAAGTTGAAGCAAACGATCAAATGAAAAAGTTTAGCAACTTCACCCAACAAATGCATCCACCTAGTTCATGGTACTAATGCTTTAACAAGTGATGGTTACTGCAATGGGTCTCTTATTTAGTAAAGAGGAAACGAAACAGCAAGATGTGATAGAAAACACTGAGTAGAGCCTGGCTCATGCCTATAATCCTAGCTACTTATGAGGCAGAGATCAGGAGGATCGCAGTTCAAAGCCAGCCTGGGCAAATAGTTCACAAGACCCTATCTCCAAAAAGCCCATCACACACACACACACACACACACACACACACACACACACACACACACAAAATGGCTCAGGTATAGGTACTGAGTTTGAACCCCAGTTTCGCAAAAGAAAAACACTGGGTAGCATGAGATATGGATTTAGGTGCGTCATGTGTTCGTTGTGATGATCTAGTTCTCAGCTCACTAAAGAACTAGAAGATCTTCTGCCTTAGCCACTTGAAAACACAGGATAGAGGCTACTTCATTCCTTACTTATTTTTTTAAACACAATGAATTCTGAAGGTGTGGGAAGAGAAGAATCTGAATGGCTCCTTCTAAATCTGTAGTTCTGGTGGTTTAATCTCATCAAGCCTAAGCAGTCTTTACTGCGGTTATGTAAGGTTGGCCCAAGCCTGCTCTCTTAAGTGGAAAACACCCTGCAAGCCAGCAGGGCCTCATGGCAGGTGTACTTCCAGAACTGGAAAAGGGACCTGGCTGAGGTTGTGAAACAATGAAAACTTCCTGTTCTGGGTGTTAACTTTAGTTACCACAGCCAGACAATGCTGCCAGTGGTGTGGAAGAAAAAATTGCTGTAGCCAGCTGTGTTGTTCACAGTCGGATGGATTCTGTGTAGCTCCAAATGGTGATGGAGCCAGAAGCCTGTTGTAGCCAAAGACAGGATGACGGATGGTCTACATACTGTGTCCAAGAAGAGAGAATGGCAGAAGTTCACTTCAGGGTTGTTAAAATGCTAATCTGGGTGAGTTAACAAAGCCTGATAGAAAAGTTTGAGAAGTAAGAATACCTCATGAGCTATCTATGCTGACCACTGACTTGATTGCTGTGGTTACTTTACAGTTGTTTTTCAAAGTAGGAAGGTCTAGTCGTTTTCCTGCTGGGAGAAGTGGAAGCAGAGTCCATGACTAGCTGCTGCATTGTCACTGTCCTCAGGTCAGGGGAGGAAAACTCAGCCCAATGACAGCTACCTCAAGTGAAAAGTGTCACGATGTGCTTGATATAGTTGTATGATTTTTATTCTCCCCATGTGGCATGGAACTAAATCAAAACAGAGTTGTTTTGTCTTTTTTCTTCCCAACTGGATGTTGCAGCTGTTCAAAAAATAATCAGTATCTTACAACACTGGATTTGGTAGGTTTTAACACTAAGTCTCTATTCACATAAGCCTCAGCCAGTGGCATCAGCTCGCTGCCATGACAGAACCAATAAATGAATTATACTTCTAGAACATGGCATCGTTCATTGATCTTAAAGGCAGGAAGGCTGGAGGACTGTAAATATTTAGTGTAGACAATCTTGCTTTAAAATCTTTAGGGTAAAATAAAATGCTCAAAAGGAATACGCATATTTACATTTCTAGCCAAATGATCACCTTTGCCCTTCTTTCTTTCTTTCTTTCTTTTTTTCTTGCTCAAGTTGAATATACGCAGAAACATGTCTGGCCCACCTCGTGTTGAGTCACTGGTTAACACAGATCTTTGCAAAGGACAAGTAGTCAATAAACACTGACTGATTGGCGTACCCCAACTGCCTCTTGCTTCCTCTAGAAATGAATCTAGAATCTGTAGGCTTAAAGTCTATTAATTGAAGTAGAAGACAATATTTTATCCTGCTATATGCTAAGGAAGGAGTTTACCTCCCATGGTTATACCAATAATGGTTAGGCAGTCAGCCAGGCACTTAGCTCTGCATAAAATGCATCAGAAGAGTGAAAAATGACTCTATTTCAGATGCATTTTTCACTCTTTGTATCGTAGTGAAATTCACATGCAAGAACAATGACTAAGCTAATTGCCATGGTTCATTATGTTGGAGTAGCAAGAAGTGAAGAACTTTTCCAGATTCATTAAGTCCTTAACAATTATGGATATCTTTGTGAATAGAAGCCCTGACTCCTGGTCACTTGCCTGTGGCCTTTCAAGGGATAGAAAGAAACCACCCCTCATGATGTGGGGGCCCACCTACCCAAATTACAGTTACTCGACAGAGCCTTCCTGTGCAGCAAGTCAGTGACCTCAAGTCCCCTCTGAATTTGTAAGTTGTCCTCACTCTAAGGACTAACATGCTTACGTCACAGCCACAGCCACCTTTCAAATTCATCAAACCAGGGAAGACATGACCAGATGGTGCTATTAGAGGGCACCAAAAGAAAAAGAAAAAAAGAGGGCAGCATGCCCACAAATCTAAATCAAACTCGAATTAACCAGCTGGTGATAGGGAAAGTCACAATGTTCCTGGCACAGTTTTATGTATTATGTTCCTCAAAAAAGGTTATCTATGTAGCATCCTTAGTAGAAATGAGGCCAGAGGTGACAACATTCTATGGGATCCAATAAGAAATAGTAGCACATTGTTACCAGTCTAGCTAAACATGCCAATGGATGGAAATGACCTGCTAAACAACACATTTTGGAAATCTTAAGGCACTCAATTTGTCCTTCTGAGAGCACATTCTAGACACCTAAACAAAAGCACAGACACTAACTATATAACAAAAACAAAATTCAACTATGGCTGAGCTACAGTTTATTTATGTTAAGATGTTTTGGTTTGTGGCAATGTAGACCCAAATCATAGAGCTTATCTGACAATTTCTATTTATCTAAGCCAGAGTAAATGTTTGTGTAATATCTGCCAGCTTGACAGAGTATGTCTGTCACTCACAACATTAAACACCACTACACACAACTTAATTTCTTGAGTTAGATAACTAAGACAGTGGAAGGATTTAACAGCAGGAATAAACCAGCATCAAAACTTACCATTTTAAATTACCAAAGGATAGTAAAATCTCCCCCTCCCCAGCTGTCCGAGATAAGATTTAACAATCCTACCAGGAAGAAATCTTGAAAAATTTCTTCAAACATTTTTTTCTCTTATTTGGAGCAACAAAGAACAAACCAGTTTAGAAAAAAAGTTAAATCTTTCCTTAGGGCTTCAGCCTTGAAATAAACAAAAGAATTCACTTTCTTGACCCAAATATTAGAGAGAAGGGCAACCTTCAAAGGCACCTGCATTTTTGTACTGCAGACTTAAAATTCATAGAGTAGCCAGAAGTTTTGAGGGGAAATCGCTCTAGACATTTTTTCCCCCAAGTAACTGGAAACACTAGGGTTTATTTTTAAGGGAAAAGAACGGTTGTAGTGGTGGATGTAAGGAGCAATTACTGTTTACAAAGTCTACGTACGTATCTATAAGGATTTTTCTGTCCCTTCTGTGAGAGCGGCGAGGAGCTAGCTAAGATGCTGGGCTATTGGTCACCGCCTGGTCACCAAGGAGCAAGGAGCACAGCCCCAGTCCTCTAACGATGTCATTCATATCTATATATATATTCATTCATATATATATATATATATATATATATATATTCAGGATTTAAACGATCACCTGACAGCAATGGTCCTGATAGTGGACTAAGCAGAAAATTTCAAAACATGACCTTTCATTTCAACCCAAGAGTTCTACACGACATAAGCTTTTAAACCCTTCCTGGTGACCCAGCTCGGGTTGCAGGATCCGATCCGTTTGTGCAGACCAGGGACAAACATCATGACTGTCAAGCCAGGAAATAAGTTTCCCTACCTTGGTCATCAGCATGGCCTTGCCAGGGGGCTGCGGACGCTATCGGCGGCTCCCTCCCGGCTGCAGGACGCCTCTCGCCGCCCGAGAAGGGGCTCATGCAAAATTGACTCTTCCTTATTTGTTTCCATCCATAATTGATGGGGAGAGGAGAACGTAACACATCTCAGCGATGAGCTCTGGCCGCCTGGCGGAGACCCTGTCCAAGACGCTTCTGTCAAGCATTTCCAGCCCGAGAACAAAGCACGGAAAGTTGCCGGGAAGAGTGGCCGGGAAGGAGAAAGCTGAGCGCCGGGTGGGCTCTGGGCAGCTCTGGGCTGCGGGCTCGGCCAGCAGGGGGAGAGGGAGGGTGGGAAGTGGCCGCCCTCGGGGCAGGAGCCGGGGCCCCGAGGTGGGGGCGGGGGGTGGTAGGAGGTGGTGGCCAAGTCTCCAGAGCCCGCCCCTTGCCAGCAGGCGCTAACCCCAGGGCGATGCCACCCCGGAGCGCAATGACAGGTAGAAGGCTCCCCGCGGACCCCGTGCTGCCTGCCTGATCCCGGGTTGTCCCAGCGTCGGCTCCGGGGAGCCCACGCAGGCTGGAGGGGGAGGCCGAGCTGCGGCCACTCTGGCTTTGGCTCGAGACTGGATGCCCGGCAGCCAAGCAGCCTTGGCTGCCCACGACTATGTGCGTGGGAGCGCGGAGCTGGGCCTGCCTGGCCAGAAACTTTTACTTGTTCCCCTCCCCTCCGCTTTTTTTTTCTCCCTCCCCACCCCCGGGGGCGGGGGTGCACAGTGGAGGAGGGAGGGCCTCCAAGTCTACTCTCCCCTCCCCCAAGCAGCCAGCTTTGCCAGTTTTGACCGCTCCGCCAAACCTTTCAGAGCGTCCCTTGCACGACAGGCTAAGGACTGCTTGGAAAAAGAAATCAACTCCCCAGTGACACACAGCACACGCGTGCACACGCACACGCTGCGATCCAGGCTCTTGAGTCCGATCCCCATCATGCAACCTAGACCTTTAGCAAATTGTTCAAAAGAGACGACCTTACCTCATGGAGAAAGACTGATTAAAACAAGCTTGTCACGATCGAGGAAAAAAAGAAAATAAAGACAGAATGCAAAAGAAGCTATCCCTCTGTCTCCTTAGGTCTCGGTTTCCTCGATCTATCCTGAAAGTCGCCACCACCAGCTCTTGCAGCAGCAGCGGCGGCAGTGGCGGCAGCGGGACGGAGCAGGAGCAAAACAAACTGATGCACGGCAAATGGTGTAATTCGATCCATCTCCAAGTCAATCCATCAGGAGAGCCTGAGCCTGTTTCCCTGCGCGCGATCCGCCGCGCACGACTCGGGACCCACCCCCGGGCGCGGACAGCAGGAGGCGCGGGCGGCTAGGCGCGCTCGCCCTCGCTCTGGTACCGCGGCCAGCGCCGCCTGGAGGCCCCCACCCTGGCGCCGCAGCCCCGCTGACCCCGCGGTGGCCTCCGCGTCCTGCTCCGCGCGCCCTCCCTCTCCCCACCAAGGAGGAGTTGTTCCTTCCAGCAACTCCCAGCGCCCCACTCAATCCAGCTCGCTGGGGCTGCAGCAAGCCTGCGAAGCAAGGAGCCTTTTCCCTTGCCTCCCTCTTCCCCTCTGTTCCACGCTCCCTCACTTCTTTCAGAGCTAGACACCCAAAGAAGAAATCATTGCTGCACAGTGGTACTTCGAACTTCTGCCTTAGTTTTCTATTCTAAGATTTATTATTTTTTTTCTCAGCACATCCTTACAAACCCGCCCCCCACGTTACCTCCCCCCCTCTCCCCACCAATCTCTCTTTATAACCAGTAAGCAAAACAGCTGGGAAGAAGCAATCAAACACTGCTTTATCTTTATAAAATACAGAAATTGCCTACTAAAAATCCCATTTCTACTTTGAATGAAAGCCATTCAGTACAGTATAATTTTGCAGGCTAATGAGCCGGTTTTACAGGCAAGTGTTTCGTGTAATACGTTGTGGGAGAAATGAAAATGTCCTTGAAGTGACATCATTTAAAGTTGACTGTCATAAAGGAAGGGATAAAAAAATCATATTTCAAAACAAGATTTTTTAACCTAAACTTCATTTCCAAGAACGGACTGTGTTTATTAATTTCCAGTTGAAATTTCTTAGCGGTCCGTAGACCACTAAGAGCTTCAAGTGAGTGGAATGAGCCCTGATGCTCCTGTTTAAAGAAAAACAAAGAAGAGAGCTTTTCCACCAAATTCTTAATTTTCATTTAAGTATGGTTAATTACTATGAAAGAGAAAAAGGAGAACATAAAAAAGATACTCCTTGTCTCAATACTTCCCCTGCTTTCTCCCAACCACAAAGTTACATGTTTACATTGAGGAAAAATATCACTGTTGTGTTGTTTCTGAAAGTTACATGACATATTGAATAGGAACTCAAAAAAAGACACCCCAAGAAACTACAGTGGGGCTCATCCCTCATCCGGAGATGGGGCTCATCCCTCATCCGGAGAACTGTTTCCTGGCTAGTTCACACTTTGTAGCAAAAAGGAAGAAGGGGAGAGGAGGGGGGAGCCTTTGAAAATATAAACTCTCTTCCTGCTGTTCTTCCTATTACAAGAAAAGGGTAGGGGGCGGAAAGGAACTTTGGCCACACAGCTCAGTGATTTTTCTGTTATTGAGTCTTTTGTTGCTGGCCTGGCTGGTGTTTTCTGGTTGTGCAGGGCTCTGACATCATTTGGAGTTACTTGGCAGTCAGGGCCCTCCACTAGCCAACTTCTGACCCAGAAAGTCGTATTTTTGCCACCACGGGAACCAGTTCCACTGTAGGCCAGGGACAATGTGCATTGCATGAAGATGAAAGAGGGTGACCATAGGCTTGATGAGGAACCAAACCATTGCTACCCACTGGATGAGACAGAAACCTTGTGAGTTTTCTTGTCTCTGCAGTAGCAGCAAAGGAATAAAAGTTCAATTCTCTAGATTCTTGAATTCTTTGCTGAAATTTCATGAGGGTTAACTTTGCAGAGATGGGAACACTCAGAGAGGGCAGTTTACCTTAGACTGAGTTCTTAAATCCAGGAATAACTGTCTTCCAGGTAGCAGAAGGATCTGCTGATAGGTCATTTTGAGCCATGGATTATAAGTGTTTTCAGTCTAAATATCAGTCTAGACCTCAAAGTCAATTCTTTTATTTGGTTTGCTGGAGGCAGAGAGGTAGGGACGGTGGTGATCCACTGACATGGGAAAAAATGGTATCCTTTTCCTATTGGTCAAAAGCAAACTACTACTCTTCAGAATTTGTCATCTCCCTGGTTCTGAGAATCTTGATAGTCTGGAAAATGACATTTCTTGGACTCTAGTAGAAAGAAATCTAAAGAAATGGTATACTTCATGTTTGTTAGCATTTGGTTTTATCAAATGGCTTTGTACTCTTTTAACCCTTAACCCTGTTTGCTTCTGCCTAACTCCCTCCTGGTGCCACACTGTTTCGTGGGATCTCTGATTTCTGGGGTACCACTGCCTATACTGCTGTGTTGCTTATTTTCTACATTACTTGACTCAACAACAACAAATAAATTGTTTGGGCATCAAAAGTTCCCTCATTCCACTAACCACTAATCACTTGTATGGGTCAAGTACTTCCCTAAAAAGTTATGTCATTCATAAAATTGAAGGACACTTTTTTATTTAATTATTTACTTTTTTGCTGGTAGCACTGGGGTTTGAACTCAGGTTCTTGCTTTATCATTTGAGCCATATCCCCAGTCCTTTTTGCTTTAGTTGGGTTTTAGATAGGGTCTCTGCATTTTTGCAGGGGTCCGGCATCCAAGATATTCCTACTTCCACCTCCTGAGTAGTTGGGATTATGGACACAAACCAGCACACCCAACCCTTCTTAACAGCAGTGTTCTTATCTTCTTTACACAGAAAGCCCCAGTACCTCCAACAAGAATGAGCACTCAATAATACTTGTTAAACATATCTGATAATAAAACCCACAACTTTCTCATACTCTTATGTACTAAACTAGAAAGTAATAAACTAGTTATCTCTAGATCATATGCTCCTCCAGAGCAAGGATTTATTCACCCTGTGTCCCCAGTGCTCACAGCACAACTGTCATGGAAATGTTTGTTAAATGGAGTGAATGTATAAATGAGTGGATGGAGATAAGCTGACTGACTCTTTTCATGTCCTGAATGAAATGTTTAAGGGCTGAACTCTACAAGGTGAGTCATTGTGCTCTAGATTATTTATTTGTATTTCTTTTCAGTGATAAGTAGTAACTTAATTTCTAACCTAGTTTTGAGTATAAAAGGCATCTGAAAATTATAGAAAATCTTTGTGTACAATTGTCAATAAAAGTTTATCAATCATCAAAGTACAACTGCTTAACTGTTAGTAGTTATTAAAGCATCAGTGCTTAATATATGCCAAACTCTGTTCTAACAAATGCTGACTGTTCTTTATATTAACTCTCTTCTTTATAAATATTAACTTGTAACAACCTTAGGAAATAAATACTACTGTTTTAAATATGAGGGATCTCAGGCTTAGAGAAATGTAAGTGACTTAGATAATGCCACACAGGTAGTAACTACGTAGGGTTTGTATCCCACCTCTTTCTTAGTAGTGAGAGTAGTTAATAGCGAGGTCATAGTTAACAGAGAAGACTTTGAAGTATTAGCCAGCTTGGATTCAAACCCAAGACTCTCTTCCCACTAAATCTGCGACTTGGGATGATTCACTTAAGCACCCTGGACTTCGGTCTTCTCATATATATTACAGGTATGATGATAATAATAATTCGAATGGATTTTTATGAAAACTGAAGGTGACACTTGTAAAGGTTTAGCATCTTACCTGGAGCACACAAGCATTGAATTAATATCAGACAATATTTTTATAGATGCCATGAGTACAGCATCTATATGTACTCAACTCTCGCAGTGCAATTTTGGAATCCTACAAAACTTATTCCAAACTCACATTAAAGACGAGACTCAGGGCAACAGTACGTGGAACATGCTACATGTGCTATAAATTTTTCTTACATTCCATCTCCTTCATTCCCTTATCTATTTGTATATGTCTATTAATTCAGACACACACACTAACTAGCCACTTGATGGGGAAAACATTCTGTATGAATTTTAATGAATCGTATAGTTTAGGATATAGAATTTCATGTTTCCAAATAAAAAAGATAAAGGTATTGCAACTTCAAAGGTAGCTGCAGCTTCAGTGATGACTTTAATTTGGAATGTACAAGCAGCATTCCTTGCCTTCACACATTATAGAAAGTGCTTTTGTGGCAAGGGATTGCTTTCAAAACTAATCTAAGCTCTCTAAAACATGATAAATCATTAATAATATAGACCCAAATCTCCGCATCTGCATAGGCACAGGTGGCCGCCTTGTGTCAACAGTCTGCATATGAAAGTGACTCTGCCAAGATATTTCACTTTAATGAAAAATATTTATCACGGTAAATCTTAAACCTCAAGATTTCACTGACAGAACACTTCTATTATTATGTACAAGGATAGTATACCATCATAGCTGTGCTTATGTTTGGAATGATAAAAATATGTTTTTTTTTTTTTTAGTCATTTTGATTTCTCTACCTTTACATGAGTAATTCTTGCTGTTCACCCTGAGCAAAGGACACCATACATTTATGGAAATGATAAATCCATTATTTCTCTAGTTTTGCTAAAGACTTCACAGGTGTCACTGTGTGGACAATGAGTGCTCAAGTCATATAAATAAATGAGGTATTTAAAAAATATATTGTTAATTTCTACCAGAAAGATGAACAGCAGATAACCTTTAATAATACTAGCTCTTTTGAAAACAGATACTACAATCAACATTTTATCTGTACATTATATGCATCCTATTACCCATACAACTTTTCTGAGTCACTTATAAATTATAAAGAAACAGACTGATTGAACACAATGCAAGTTTATCTTAAGTAAATCTCACTGGTTAAACTATAAATGGTTCCATTAACGGTTAGGACCATAACTCCCCTAAATCATAATTACTGAATGTTCTCTATACACAAACTTCAGGATATTGGAGGTAGAAAGACTGGATTCATCTGCAGAAGCCATTAGAGCCACTTATTCATTAAACAAACAAACAACAACAAAAACAGAATAGGATTCTGGGTAATTTTTACTTTTGAAATAATGATACTCAAAGGATACATTTATTTTCTTTCTTATTTACCTTTTTTTTCCCCAA